AAACATTGGCCACATGCAGTGTCAGCTGCTTGGGGGAGAGACATTTTCCTCCTGATTGGTTGGTTGATTAGTTGATTGTTTGTTTGATGTATGTGTAGGATCTTAACTCCCCGAGTCCAGAAGGACAGGGAGACTTACCTGCAGCTCCTATTATGGAAAGAAATCATGAAGTCAGACCCTCTGGTTCTGAGCAGTTCTCCAACTAAGGTTGCAAATGCCTGTTTCTGCTTCTGTTACTCCCACCAACAAAGGACCAAAGGGTTCCACATCTCTAGGTGGGACCAGACCAGTCTCTTTGGCTTTCTTAGTTAAGACACTGAAGTGATTTGAAGCCAAACCATGGGTCATCTAGCCATATAGTGCTTTCTGGTTCCAGAAGAGACTGAGAGCTGAGCCACCCTCACTGGTGCCATACTTTGTACCTCGCAGCTTTCTGATCCTGGCCCTGCCACCAGAGGAGTTGTTTGAGGATCAGCTTTGAAGTCCAGTTATAGATGTAGGAAGTTGGAATCTATCAGTGCGCTAGAACCAGGGGACATAGTGCGTTTGGTGCTGTCTCTCTTGGCACTGAAGAGAAAGATGCATAAGGACAAAGTGGCCTCAGCGAGCAGTTTTGGTTCCTGTGCATCAGAGTTGTCAGATTCACCGATTCCGATGAGGATGCTACGTCTCCAAAACTAAGACTTGGTCAAGTTTCTGCATTAGTAGCTAGTGAGCTGCACTTGCAAGTAATGCTGGATCTAATACTAGCTCAAACCTTACAGCTGTAGTTTGGTTTTCGTTTTTGGCTCCTATTTAGACTCCAGCTATATGCTCAGTACTGGAGAGTTCAGTCACTGGCAGCCTCGGTTCACCTTTTGGATCAGACATGTGTAAGTGGATCGAGTGAAGTTCAAGAGTATTAGTAGGCACATTTACCCAGTTGTAAGATCATCATCTCTGGATTTTGGGTTGTGGGCTCCAGCCAGGCAAGGCTTACCTCAGGTGGTGCCAAACTGGTGCTATCCCTGCCTGTTCCGGCTGTGCGTCACTTCCAGAAGTGGTCAACATGTATGGCTCCTACGTGGAGTGGCAGGGTAGCTCTTTGCAATATGCATGGCCCAGATCCATAGTTACTGCCCAGATGTGGGGGTGAGTGCAGCATGCAGAACTTCCCTGATTGCCCTTCCACCTACAGGCCTCAGGGACATGCAGACAAGCCAGTGCTCACCGCATGAGCCTCACTGGGAGCAGGCGCCAAAGCTTGGGGCTTCCATTCCAGGGTTCAGACTTGTTGTGGGTCAGAAGAAATGAAACAGCAGACCTGATTTCCCCCACTCGTTATCTAGTGTTCTAAGGACTCCATCTTGAATCTACTTGCACTGCTAGTGGAAGAGACTCTCCATCCAGTATTGCATAGCTTTGGTATTCTAGTGAAGAGTAGGATATCCCTTCTGTAAATGTGCCATCCCCGTACCCCGGAGGGCGTGTTCCACTTGTTCACCCCCTTTCCATACCCTAGCCCCGTGGACCCGTCACACTAACGATCGCCCCATGTTAATTGTGTTAATAGTTTCCTATGTCTCTTTTCCAATATTTGTTGGCTTGCCTCCCACAATGGGGAGAGGGGGGTCTGGGCCCACCCCCTCTCACAGACCCCAGCCAAGGGCCCTAAGGACACGGACGTCAAGCTTGTCCGGTCCGGCTGGCGGGGCCTTAGCTGAAACGCGCCAGCCCGCAGGCTCCACTTTGCCCGCCCTGGGCTGCTTCCTCTCCCCACCTGGGTTCTACCCGCCGAGCCGGAGCTTACCGCCTCAGCCTTGGGCCCATCCGGTGTTCTCTCACAGCTCCATCCGGCGTTTAAATTTCCGCGCCGCGGCCCGTGGGCGGGGCCACACCCGACTCGGTGTGGGCTCGATTCTGGCTCGTGGCGGCGGCTGCGGGGTGATGTCACGGCGCCCGTGACGTCAGCGGGATTCCCGGGGCCACCCAGACGTCTGGCCGCAGCAGCCCCCCGGGAGCACCTGGCACACCGCCGCATGGCTTGCGACGGGGCCGTTCAGGCTGTGGGCTGCAGGCTGTCTGGCTCCGCCACTCCCCGCTCCATCCCGAGGGCTGCCAGGCATACGGCCCCAGCGCGCTCCGGAGTGCGGGGCGTTTCTGCCCCGTCACACCTTCCTATTTTGAATGGACTCTTTCTGTATGCTAGGTCGGTGTCCTGATCTTAGTGCACTCTTGAATTTTGTTAATCTGTCTCCAAGAAGGCAGACAAAACTGTACCAGATACCTTCTGAAGCTTTGTTGTTTTTTTTATAAACTTTAATAACCATCCCATGGCTAAGTCATTGGTGGTGGCTGCTGCCAGTAGCAGGGCATGATCTGGACAGACACATTCCATATCCACTGATAAAGAAAAAGGTGGATTTACTGGGGAGAGAGTTGTGGTTTTCTTCCTCAACTCTTGATGTTAAGATCACAAACTATCACCCAGTCATAGTCTGTTATCAAGCCCATATGTGGGTGAAAAACTACTTTATTTTTACAAGACCTGTCAGAGAATAGAAGATGATTAGCTAATGCCATCTTAGTAAAAGGTAAAACTTTAGCTAAACAAACCCTTGTTCTTCTTTGACACTTTAGACTCTAGTGCAAGAGATTTGACATCTGCTGTGACCTTTAAGAATCATTGATTGCATGGCTCCATTCCTCATCCTTCACTATAGACATCAGACCTAAACTAGAGGGCCTTCCCTCCTCCATTTTATTTTACTTTTTTTCCCCCAAAGGGACAGAGTATTGGAAAAAATTTAAGGACTTGAGATTGACAGCTTGGTTTCCAGGTCTAATTCCATCTTCTAGCCCTTGATACCAGAAAGATGGAAGGAGAGGTAATCCTATCCACAGATTTAGTCATGCAATTTTTCAACACATCAGACCTCAAGTCCCAGTTTTGATGAGATGGTAGAATGTCAAGAACCAGTCAATCAGGACTGAAACATCCTCACATTTGGAGACAGACTAGACCATTTCGTCAGTGCTTAGAGGTGAATTACCTCTGACTAATGGGTTCAAGTGATTGTCTAACCTGGCTGTGTTATATAATTAAAAAGATTTTCTCCCGCTTACCCTTCCCTCTTCAGGGACCCTTACAAGGCTGCAATTCTAAATGCAGAAATGGAGCAATTGAGGAGGTTTCCAAATTCCTGAAGATAGCGGGGTTTAATCCCTCTTTTCTTGTGCAGAAGAAAGGGTGTCAGTTTCATATGTTGACTCTGGCCACCATAATCCCTTTTCTGTTGGTCTTGGAATGGTTTACAACTCTTGATCTAAAGAACATATATTCTGATAATTCTTCAAACTAATTACCAGTACTTTCAATTAATGATGGCCAGATGCCACCTGAAGTACAAATTACTTCCATTGGACCTTCTTGTAGGTGCCCAGAGTTTTTAAAAAAATGTGTGTCTGTGATGGGGGCTCATCTGAGGAATCAGAGTATTTTTGTTAATTCCTATTCAACTGACTGGCTAGTGAAGGCTACTGTGAATGAAGATCTGTTAAACCAGTGTTTCTCAACCAGTGGTACCCTTAGGGGTACTCGAAGTCTGGGGGGGGGGGGGGGACTGCACACAAACAAAAA